TTTACACGTCAATTTGTAAACAAAAATGGTGACTCTGATTAGCATAGGTTACTTCTGCTTTTCGGTATCATAAGTGTCACTACTCAATAAAGGGCCTATGAAAGTAGGTACGTAGAGTAACCCTGTCACAAATTATGTATTTGACATTTGTATCAGGCTAATTCTCTAGCTTACATTTTTCATAGTGTTATTTCAAACGACAGGCTATGTGACTGTAGATACACTGCATGCAGACTTAGATGAGATCAGGTCCATCATATGTTTCTAAAACTAAAAAAAATACATCCGGCACACAAATACACGTCACAGTTTTAAAGTTTGCAGTAAAGTATCTATTATGCGATGCCATTAACATCTATTTTAGGCAAAGCATATGTACCATAATCCACATCTGAATATAATGTACAGCGCAAAATCGCCATTTTCACATTTTACCAATTCCCAATTTTCAATGTAATTATTTTTTCGAATAACGCATATCTACATGGGAAGTTCAATTAGAAATTATCGGGTGTCTGCTCTATGTCCTAATAATCATTCTGAAAAGACTCTAATAACCCTATATTCGTTTTCGAAACGTCGTTAACACTCTGAATCGAACCTCTTGTCGAGATGCCTGGCACATCACATATACTTCACACTCAACAACAATACATACATCCCTGAAGTCATCATTCCATTAACAATGAATTGACACACTGTCTAAGTTACTGATACAAACAGTCCAAATGAAATCAACCGAAACAAGTGTGAAAGCAAACCCTATGCTCTGAAACCTACCAGTGGGCCTTCTCGTCTGAAAATGTACACAAAGCAAACTTTTAGTTTTACGTGTTAACCTGTTATACTATTTCGAGAGATTCAGTCGTCAATTTGTTGCATACATTAGCTTAGATTATTGCGAATATCCAAGGGACGATAATCGTTGCAAGAATCGAGTCAACAGAAACCGTTTCACGTAACGCCATGACTGACACCAAATCATCACACTGACGACTGTATTGTTGTGCCTTTCCACGTAGTAACAAGGCTACAATGGAAATGTTGATTTTAGATTGATTCTGATTACTTAACTAACATGACTTATTATGTACAAACGTTCCATGTATCACGGAACAATGTAACTTTTAGAGGAAGCAAAACAGAAAGCATTTTTTGTCCTAATGTTTCATCGTGGGGTATAAATAATATACAACTCCATTACCTTTCAAAATCAGAGGTTGGCCCAGTACCAACATTCTCGCACAGCGTTGATTTTTTGAAAACTGTGAGTCTGAATATTAACTCGGCAACCAGGATTCCAAAGGTAATGTAGTGAATCACAAGCTTTGGGCCATGTGAATGTCGAGTTGTATACAACAGTTCGTACAAGTTACTGCCTACAACAAGTTGTACCAACTAGCTGCGCCGTGTGTATAGTACAGTCGGTGCCATTGTTCTTTCAGCAAATCGTCTTAGAAAATGTAGTTGATCAACCTCTTCAGTCTTGACAAACCCCACAGCGAAATATATGTTTCCTCTCAACATCGTACAAAAGCAAATTCTTTAGCCGGCTGAACTCTCTTTGTCATGCACTAGGTATTCCCTGTGTATTTTCCGAAACATGCTACGGATCCAGATCCGAGTGAGTTGGGCTAAACCCCACTTTGAACAGTATATCACTCACATCACATACCCTAGCTTAATCCTCATTTGTGCATATACCTACCAATTACAGCCAGTTGTCCCAGGACACATACAATCTGAAATATGTCTCCTGTAGGTCTTGTATTTCTCAAACAGATCATATGTTTCCTATTATATAAGGTATTTCAAGACAAAACATTTTAAGTGAAAATATAGGTAATAGGTGGCTAATTCTCTCTAAATCCAGCTCGACATTCAGATATCTTCTCATGGAAGCTCATTAGGTTTACCCCTGTGTAAATATCAGGAGAATTAAATCTCCCGTGTGTTGAAAACCCATGCCTAACATGTGCTTACCATTCACATTTAGATACATGGCACTTGGGTTTGACTTTAGTATTAAAACCGCTCTCCAGATCTAGAGTTATATCGCAGCATGAGGTGCTTGCCTTACCTTCACGAATCTGTTGTTATGCATCCTATTCCCATTAGGATAATTTCGTTCCCAGGTTCTCCACATCTTTGATTAACGTGTAACTATTCTACCCTTGTTGGGGCTGGTACATATTTCTTCTATATCTTCCTACATATGCTGAGGCTACGAGTAGATCAACGCTGTTTTCCTGGAGATAGTTTGCTCTTTGATCCAGACAAAGGTTATGCTGGAGACCTTCGAAGAAACTGTAGCTCAGAATTCACTCCAAAACTACTGTATAAAACTATCCTGAGTGAGAGTGAGTTTATTTCAGTAAAGGCGCCACTGGCCCATTATACAGTACAATGCCATGATTAGGTTCAACGTGTGAAGCGTCGTACAATTATTAAGACACATCACTTCATCATACCAGTGAAAACATATTCAGCTGACCAGATTTAACAAATATACTGCATGACGATTAGCAGCTGTTGAAATCTAACTTTCAGAAATACGTTGGCAGAAGGTAACAAGTCGTGATTTAAAGAACATTCGAGACAAAAATGACGGTCAGATTCGATTACTGGTATTATGGATAGTGGACAAAGACGCTTATTTCTTGGTATTCCAAACTTGTCATAAGAATATGAACACCGGAATATCGTTAATGCTATTCTATTCACAGGTATAGTCGCTGCAGCTACTTTTTATGTATATATATTTACAATGTGCATACAGATTTCCATATCTTATGCGCATAAAGAAATATAAAGTTGGAAGTTAAATTATTAAAGTAAAACCTTATCGTCTAGCACAGTCAACGTACTGACGTCACACAACAAAGTTCTATAAGATAATTAAGTGTCATTGCTTGGCCTCTCCGTCCTTGGTGACGTCCGTCATTTGTAATCAAAGATTGCCGACTAACACCCTAATCGACATGGCACCTGTCATGCATGTTAGGTCTCAGCTTTTATTATAGATAGATAAGCATAAATGTCAATCAGGAAAAGTAAATTTATTCATGTTCATACAAATAAAATTGTATAAAATTCATTGCTTTTATTGTCCAATCCGAATGTGGTACGTGCTTCTGTAAATGCATTCATTATTATGTATAGAACTGTATGTTTGTTCTGGTGTGAGGGAGGGACACGTGCGCAGTGTCAGTGGACACACGGGACTCAGGACTCACGGTGCCGGGAACCCCGTCTCATTCTTGGTCGACACCTACCACTCTCCATGTAATAAGATTCGATTACACTGAGACTTCATATTTAAATCTTACATGGGATCCGCTATCGCCAGCTGATTGTTACTCACTCAATACTTATGGATGACGATCCCCTAGCACCAATTAGGTGACGACTATAAGTAACAAGCATACGTCAGCGATACACCAATAAGTAACAATGACGTAGATAGTGACTGGGGCCCACCCAGAAGTAACACCAGAAGTAACAATCACGCTTAAGTCACAACTGGTATGAGACCCGAACTTCCCAATCACCTCTCATTTACCTGCAGAAGATAACTAGATCTCCAGAGCAATCACTGGACCTCAAGCCACCGCTCATGCAAGCAGTAAGATGATATGCATAGACAACAGCTACAACCTAAAGAATGACGACAAATCTCCCTTTTAAGAAATCTGCATGACCTAAGTTTCGGATGTATTCTTTTCGGGAAACCCAACGAAGTCACTGAACCGAGCTCTCCAACATCACGTCGAGGTCATCACGTCAACATCAAAATGTCCACCTCTCACTTGTCGCCCAGCTGATGATGGTTTCACTTTGCTCCTTTTCGCGAGACAGAGACTGTTCAGACAACCTCGATCCAAGGATGAGGATCTTCTGCTCGCTGACTTATGATACATATGTAGCAGTGTGAATGGTCATTAGGTACCAATGATGAAACTGCGTCTGACGTCTAACCGTCCTGTGAACAGTATACGACTAGAGTAGAACTACCATGAAACATGGCTGCAATCATGTGAGTAAAATGGATATTTAAAGTCCTGTGATAACTGTTTTATTCATGAAAATTGCTTTGAGATTATTTCACTTCAAATGTTTGTAAGTATTATCATTTTGAAACCTTTTTATAATAACTTATCAGTTAAATTTATGCAATCCCCTTATAATTGCAAAACAAAATATAAAAGGTTTAATCTGTTTACTGATGAAGAGTCAAAATAATTTTTATTTCAAGACATTGACGTAATACTATTTTTGTGATTCTCAGCTACGTTAAGCAGATAGCCACGTTAGATAAGCTTTCAATTTTTTAACAAAGCTAGTTCTACTTACATCAAAGAGCTACAATAACTTCACTTCCAAATTTAGTTTGCAGATCAGTAACCCCCATTTTTTATCAAGTATAAATTGCTGTTACTACTATTGCAATAGCCCACCACCGTACACTTGATAGCAGAGATTATACTGGCCAAATACTGTCTTTGTTTCAGCGAATTAGATGGTCTACTGTGGCCATTCTGTTCAATGATTGAGCACTTCTTAAAAAAAAACTGCAAGGAGGCCGTGTCAAGTAGTACAGCATTTGTCCATTAAGTTTGCAGAAACGTCGGAGGTACGAATAACAAGTAGAGTATGTTATATGGCAGTGTATTTTATTGTTGAACAAAGATTGTCACTACTTTACATTGTTTTTGATGAAGATGAGGTAGAAGTTACTACATTTTGTATGCTTGTGTGGGGTTGGGGAGGGCTGGGATTTTATTAAGATATTAGATATTATGGCGAGAATGCAATTTTAGTGGCAAACAATTTCTTTTTCTTTCACCAGTCTGGAGCATAATTTCTTTTTTCGCAAATTTTCAAGGACAATTTCTTTTTTCCGACAAAATCCAAGAAGATCAAATGGTCCGTCCCTAATCGGTCGGTCCCCTTGGTCAAGAGTGTGTGTGTTTCATAATGTAATCAAACTAGAAGTCAAATATCGTCGGAATGTTTATTTCAACAGTTTTTCAGTACTCCGGATTGTTTCCACCAGCGATCCTATCCACCCCTGAAACAAACAAGGAATGTACAAAGCTTTCATAGCACACTCAACATGGTAGGACGTCTAGGTATTGATAGGATGATGTTAACAGGCTTCTATCCTCAGCCAAAGTGACACTTTCCTCATACACTGTTGAGTTGTACACTTAAGATTGGTAGCAAGAGTGACACTGTCCGCCAATACAGTATAGGTTGTATACTTACGAGGGGTAGCCACAGTGACACTGTCCGCCAATACAGTATAGGTTGTATACTTACGAGGGGTAGCCACAGTGACACTGTCCGCCAATACTGTATAGGTTGTATACTTACGATGGGTAGCCACAGTGACACTGACCGTCAATACAGTATAGGTTGTATACTTACCAGACTTAGCCAGAGTGACACTGTCCGCCAATACTGTATAGGTTGTATACTTACGAGGGGTAGCCACAGTGACACTGTCCACCAATACAGTATAGGTTGTATACTTACGATGGGTAGCCACAGTGACACTGTCCACCAATACTGTATAGGTTGTATACTTACGAGGGGTAGCCACAGTGACACTGTCCGCCAATACAGTATAGGTTGTATACTTACGAAGGGTAGCCACAGTGACACTGTCCACCAATACTGTATAGGTTGTATACTTACGAGGGGTAGCCACAGTGACACTGTCCACCAATACAGTATGGGTGGTATACTTACGAAGGGTAGCCACAGTGACACTGTCCGCCAATACAGTATAGGTTGTATACTTACGAGGGGTAGTCACAGTGACACTGACAGTCAATACAGTGCAGGTTGTATACTTACGAGGGGTAGCCACAGTGACACTGACAGTCAATAAAGTGATGGTTGTATACTTGCGATGGATAGCCACAGTGACACTGACCGTTAATACAGTGATGGTTGTATACTTACGTTGGGTAGCCACAGTGACACTGTCCGCCAATACTGTATAAGTTGTATACTTACGAGGGGTAGCCACAGTGACACTGTCCGCCAATACTGTATAGGTTGTATACTTACGAGGGGTAGCCACAGTGACACTGTCCACCAATACAGTATAGGTTGTATACTTACGAGGGGTAGCCAGAAGTGACACTGTCCGCCAATACAGTATAGGTTGTATACTTACGAGGGGTAGCCACAGTGATACTGTCCACCAATACAGTATAGGTTGTATACTTACGAGGGGTAGCCACAGTGACACTGTCCGCCAATACTGTATAGGTTGTATACTTACGAGGGGTAGCCACAGTGACACTGTCCACCGATACAGTATAGGTTGTATACTTACGAGGGGTAGCCACAGTGACACTGTCCACCAATACAGTATAGGTTGTATACTTACGAGGGGTAGCCACAGTGACACTGTCCACCAATACAGTATAGGTTGTATACTTACGAGGGGTAGCCACAGTGACACTGTCCACCAATACAGTATAGGTTGTATACTTACGATGGGTAGCCACAGTGACACTGTCCATCAATACAGTATAGGTTGTATACTTACGAGGGGTAGCCACAGTGACACTGTCCACCAATACAGTATAGGTGGTATACTTACGAAGGGTAGCCACAGTGACACTGTCCGCCAATACAGTATAGGTTGTATACTTACTAGGGGTAGCCACAGTGACACTGACAGTCAATACAGTGCAGGTTGTATACTTACGTTGGGTAGCCACAGTGACACTGACAGTCAATAAAGTGATGGTTGTATACTTGCGATGGATAGCCACAGTGACACTGACCGTTAATACAGTGATGGTTGTATACTTACGTTGGGTAGCCACAGTGACACTGTCCGTTAATACAGTGATGGTTGTATACTGACGTTGGGTAGCCACAGTGACACTGACCGTTAATACAGTGATGGTTGTATACTTACGTTGGGTAGCCACAGTGACAATTGCCGTCAATACAGTGGAGGTCGGAGAGAGGCTGGCAGGTGCAGGCTATCTGACCATTGTTGTAATCGTTACGGCAGTCATCCTGGTTTCTGCATCTGGCTGTAGGTGTCGTGTTAGGTATAATTATGCATGATGAACACAGTTACATCAACAATCATGGGGAAGGCACACATTAATACATACAATACTCTAGTATTTATGTGCACATGATTACTTTAATGTTTGATACATGTTTAACTCCCTATGATGAAAATTATGAACACTGCATTTAGTAAATCAATAATTGTCAGAAACCCTTGTCATATCTTCAGTGATTAATATTAACATTTTTAATATCTACACTATTCCGAGAGATATGACACCCCGCCTACCTAGGTTAGGTTCCGGAGCACACAGACTGGTGCACGTGCAGGTTCCCGCCACACATGTGATAGTTCCACCAGAGCTACACTGAGTGATGGTGCAGTCACGGACATTGCTACACACTTCTCCCTGCACGGAGACCACTGCAACACAAATATCACAATTAGGTTTTGCCGAGTAAAATTTGTAGGAAGACAAATCGTGTTTGTAGAGAGGTCGTCAGAGAACAACCAACGAGAAATAATTAGTATGTCCAGAATGAATAGCTAACTGATTTAAAGCCTTCGCTGAAGAGGAGCAGATAATCTGCTTTTCCGAGTTTCAAGTAGTCTCTTGCCTGTTGTTACCTATTAAACAAACATGTGTTTAACACGGCTGATACGTACGCTGAAAATGGTTGTAAAAATTGGAATAGTAGGTTAAGGAAGACGTTTAGTAATATGGATTGAGGACACCTGTTAAACTCAACAGGTGTTATAGATAATTCTTTTGTGTGTACACAGATAGAACAATAGTGTATGAATGAGCATGCTTCCCATTGGAGCAATATGTTAAGAAAGGCAGATGGGTGAAGAGGGCTTATTACATTCAGAGTGTACCGATGTTACAAGCAAGTGTATGTAGCAGAAGACTACATTTTAAATGAGAGTCCTGGCTACAATTCGAGTGGAAACCGGTCGGTATGAAGTCATACCTGTCCAAAATACCTGTTTACACTGTACCCTCTTCTGAATGAATGCTACTAAGTCTCTGAATCTTTAAGATGAACCTGATATCGACAAATTTCATTTTATGTTCAGTGATGCCAGTGTGTTTTATGTGATTTCAGTGTCTGTCTGTCTGTCTGTCTGTCTGTCATCTTAAAAAGAAAGAAAGTGTGAAATGTCTCACCTTGGATGACAGATAACTGACGTCACTTTGTGCTAACCAATCTGATCTGAGAATCGCTCCAATGCACTTTTGGCGTATCAGAAACCTGTTACACTTCTTGAAGCCAAATGCGTAAATTTGAGACGTATTATAATGGCAAGAAGTGAGACAGGTGATGTGGAGGGTTAGAGTAACAATATGTAATCTAAGGAGTAGTATACAGACTTCACAGTGTAACAGTAGCAGGTAGTTATAACACTGGTCACGTGTGAACAAAGGACTTAAGGTCACGTGTTACTGTAAATCGTCTAGCCCTTGGGGGCCTTTAACTCACCAGTTTGATCTTCACAGAAACTTCTAGAAACACACAATATGGACTCCGTGTTCTCTGAAGGCAGTGACTAGATTAAGGTGTGACAGGCAGACCAGTGTTACAACCCTCAATGTGAAAATAACTCATGATGTAAAAAATCGTACATGAAGCGTTATGTGTTAACTCTTAATGTAATTTTTTTTACAGTAAGAGAAACAACAAAATAACTTTTTGCATTTAGGGTAAGTAAAGCAAAATATAGCCCCTTACTGTAAAAGATTCTTATGAACAAAGTTTGATTGGAAATATGTAAATAGGGTACTTTTGGCTATTTTCACATTTTTTATTGTTTCTGTCCGGTTTCTTATTATTATTCCTAAATAGAGAATACTACACTGATATGTATTGTATATGGGCCAGTGGCCTTAGTACAAATAAAAGACTTCTTCTCCTTCTTATTCAGTCTTGTTAGGTACAATTTTTACGAAACGAGTGGACTTTCAGATGCTATAGAAAGTTCCTTTGTTGACATACATACCAAGCTGAAACCGGTTGCAAAATCTGGTTGCGCATGAATATTGATATATGCCCAAATATGGACATTGTTGACATTTCTATGCATACGCATTTACAGCATGCGCCTGCAGTTGTGTTTGCAAATATAACAGCACCAGCTTATGGTTATTCAAGCGTCCGGTGTCCCGGCTGTGCAATCAAAATGGTCAGTTCCCTGATCTATCAGTTGAATTTATATCATGTCCGTACACATTTTGGATGAGGGAATCAGAGTGTTCGCCAAAAACGTTCATGTTAACTCTACCGCCTTTTACTGAATACTTGAAAATCAACAAAATCTCGGCTGTTTGCATGACAGTGACAACGGCAAGGTCACCACCGGAATAAGAAAAGACAACCGTGATCTACTCATAGCGTTTTACGCTGGAGATAGGGAATGTTATTGTTCACATTTGGGATAAATTTGGGCCACATAATCAGAAGTCAGGCACACTTCTACGGCGTTTTCGAATGATTTATATCGGAAATGTTCACTTTTAGTGATCTGGTCGTGCAGTCGTGAACAAACAACAGTGCCATTACATACGCTTTGAAGGGGACACTGATGGCACAACCGGATCATCCCAAGTAAGTCTAGATATCTGAATTGAAAGTCGAGAAAGTGGTTGGGTGCATCACGCTCATGGGGACCCCCGATCTATCAATCGGTATTGCAAATAGCTCGATTATATAAAGTCTGTAGTAGCTCTTTGCATAACTAATACAGAATGCATAGCGAAGTTGATGCGTGTGACTATCTTGTTTGGTTTAGAAAAGTGTGTGCAATTGTCTCTCGTTTTCATGAGATTGAATAGGTTTTCTTGGCAATGTTACCGAGGTATCTGATTGGTCGATATTTAGTTGTTCGATTTCGTTAAATGATGTTTACATATAATTTAAATCACAAAGCACATTTTATTACAATATCAACAGAATATCTGCTTGGTCGAAATATAGATAATTTACCCTATTTAAGACTTGGTGTGGATGATCACAAGGTTCTGTAATATAACCTTATTCAGAAATCCGGGATGGTATCACAGTCGCCATTTTGTAATTTACAGGTTTGAAACATCTAAATCAGTAAATATCTATTAATGAAGTCCTTTAGAAAACCCTGAATATCCTTTCAATCGGTTAGTTCACTGTACCCCTGCAATTGACTGATTTCAATTAAAACATTGTCTGGGTGACCACTTGAACATGTTGTTGGGCACATTGCACTTATGTTTTCATTTCGGGGGTGTTATTGACTTTTATTACTTCGTCATTTCAATTTGTCTGGACAACTTCTAAACTACTACATCGATTTTTCAGATATGTACGTAGGTGTATCTAAGGACGCTGTACGAGATGCCTTCGTTTCCATTGCCATTCTGTTACCATGGCAACAAAACATCTGGCATCTAATTGTTCGAAATTTAGAAATTGTCTGATTTCATTAAAATTTTGTATATTGACATGTTATGGGATTCCTAACTCGACCACATAGGTTTTGTTTTTACCATGTCAATGGAAAACAGGCCTCTGAATGCTCCTTTAAATACTCTACCCTATTTCATATAATCTTAAATCAAATAGACCTTGTGATTATGTCTTCCAGTGCGATTGCAGAGGGACGTTTTGATACTCACGTTAACAATATCATACGTCTGCGGGACGTTTTTCCCCATAGGACAGTTCTAGTTAGCTTAATTATTTTTCATACATACAACATGGCCGAAAGGCTTATTGGAGCTGGGTTAGAAAATAAAATCTGCAATGACTTGTCACATTAAATGTAAAATTCTAATTAACAGGTTCTTCCACCTAATTGCTGCACCTTTATGTTAAGGGAAATATTTACGTTTTGAACATAATACAACACCACAAAAACGAGTAGGTTGCAATTTAAATACATCATTTCATTATCCGGTTGCCCATATTCCCAAACAGTAATAAGTGGGGTGTTTTAATTATTGTTTTTCGATTGATTTGCTTGAAATTAATCACGTGACTCGAAACATTGCACAAGTCATTAGTGCATTGTGGGGCCGAGCTAAGAAATATAAAGAAAGTCGAAGTTCGATGTTGTTACGTGTGGATCCACTAAACATTTTCCATACATAACAAGGAGAGATCACACAACAATTTAAAAATAATTTAAGACTGGCAGTCTAATCGATCTCATATTATTCACAAACAGCAATAGCAAGTATCAATCACAATAAACTTTATGCTGTAATATCCCATCATTTCCGAACATGATCCAGTGAATGTTTCATCTAATCCATAATGTACCATAGTTCACCAATTGCCGACATGGCATACACAATTAAAGTTTCAAATCTTGCCGACATGGCATGACAGTTAACACCTGAATCCGACCTTGGAACTGACCACTTTGTCTGCCTGTCGAGCAATAGCCAAGCCACAATTGCATAACACCAGCCTTTACTTGGCTGTGAGTGAGTGAGTATGGTTGTACGCCGCTTTTAGCAATATTCCAGCAATATCACGGCGGGGAACACCAGAAATGGGCTTCACACATTGTCTTACAGGTCTTACATATAGACAAGGTGAAGTGAAGTGTGTAATTGGTCAGTGTTGATTACTGGCAATCTGTACACAAGCAACATATATATATAGAGGTATGAATATACATTTCATGAATACAAAGTGCATTTAATATGTTCTTCATGAAACAGTGTCTCTGCATACTGTGAGTTGGAATGTTTTCTGTTGTCCAAATTACAACTTTGTTTCCAAGACTTATGTCAGAAACCTGCAGCAGCTGAAAGCAATGAAATAGTGTGCTCACCGAGATGGTTGCGCTACATGATACGGTAACCGACGTGAATTGACGTCCGGAGACGTGATATGACGTCGCTGTGGGACGAACATGGCGAAAGAAGAGCAATATCGCGTCCTTTTTGTTTGACTGGAGTATGTTGCTAAATGCCGTACGTTGAGAAACAGTTTTCATGTGGTTATGAAACTTTCAAAGATAACTCATTCCTTTGGCGTAGACTGCAGTTGTCATGATAAAGGTTTGCTGCACGCATATTTGATAAAACATGTTCTCGTGATGACGCAAATTAAGGAGCGGTTGAGAGGTATACAGAAATTAGACTGTTGAAGTAAAGGGAGTATTCTGTGGACAGGACGATCAAGTGATCGATATTACGAGCAACGATCCACGCCTTTGGGATGTAACGACACACAATATATGATCACCATAGATTGCTGGGGACCTTCATCAACCAGAACCACTACGGTGTCTCTGAGTTACTATGCTTTGAAATCTGAAATATTTCTCCTGAAAGTCTTATTTTTCTCAAACAGATCATATGTTTCCTATGATAAAAGGTATTTCAAGAAAAAAGCATTTTAAGTGAAAATATAGGTAATGGGTGGCTAATTCTC